GCCCTGCCCTGCCGAGCAGGGCACGAGCCGGGCCCGGAGGCCGCCCTGGCCCGGGGCTGCTGCCGCCCTTCCCGCTGCGAGCCCCGCGCTGCCCCCGCGTTTCCTCTCCCTTCACACGGTGACTCACCGCGCAGCGAGCAAACAGCCCGGGGCGTTTTGCCCGGCTCGCTGCAGCCTGGCCAGGGGAGCGGAAGATCGGCCTCGTTCTCTCAGCAGCCCGGCGTGGGGCGCCGGGGTTTGTCCCTGGAGGGYAGATTGTCTGCGGGACTTCACCCCSAGTGCCCTGCTCCGTGGCTGYTGCGGAGCGCTGGGAAGGAGCTGCTTTGGGAGCTGCTCTGGGGATGCCACGTGCTTGTCTGCCSGGGCTGGGGCTTCTCCTGGGAACCACGTGGCTGCGGCTCCCGGGCCACGGAGCTGTTTCTGCATCTGCTTCTCATCTTCTGCTCCCAGGCTGCGAGCTGAGCAGCAGCACCAAATCCTACACGTTTAAGGTGGATGAGGAGGATGACTCCGACCACATCCTGGCTCTGTCTGTGGTAAGAGGCACGAGGGTTAGCGGGGCTCCCCCTCCTCGCCGCAGCCYGCCAGCTCCCCCCTGCTTGCCGGGCTCGCTGCCCTCGGGAGCGGATGGTGCGGGGCTGGTGCTTTCCCTCCTGTGCAGGGGCGCAAGCAAAGCCAGGAGTGTCTAGGGGCTGCTCAGTGTGGGCATCCTCCAGGTACAGGGTGAAGGAAGGTGTTTTTCCCTGTGTTAGGCCTTGCTGGGGCCTATAGCAGAACACAGGTCCCCACCAGGCAGGTCTCTGGCCTGCTGCTCTCAAGGGAGCACTCAAGGCTTCGCTCATGTATTTCCTGGCTCTTTCTGGGAGTCACTGTCTGGCCTGGGAACACAGGAAGTGCCAGCACRGCTCCACAGAAAATGCAGCCCACATGCTGTGTCCTGAGGCAATTGCAGGATGGCTGTCCCAGCTGGAAAGGGCACGGAGCCTCTCAGCAGGCAGCGAGGGGACCATGGCTGCGGGGAGGGATTTTGTGCTCTCTCTGGGAATTRGCAGCCAGTGCATTCATGCAACAGGGGTTCATGTCCCTGTCGTGCCCGTTTGCACAGTGGCATCTGCACACAGTGCTTGTGTAGCAGCCAGGCTGGTAGCATTGCCGTGGGTCGCTTGTCCCGAGGAGAGGCCCGACTATCCCTGCTGCACTTCTTGGGAGGGAAGTAATTCCCAGCCTCTGCTCCCTCCAGGTTTGCCTCACGGACGGTGCCAAGGATGAGTGCAACGTGGTGGAGGTTGTCGGGCGAAACCACGAGAACCAGGAGATCGCGGTGCCGGTGGCGAATCTGAGGTTGTCGTGCCAGCCCTTGGTAAGGGAATGCCAGGGGGCTCGGGGACTGCACAGCTCCGGGTGTTTGCAGACCTTTCCCTTGGGGCCCTGGYCACGAGCTGGTCTGCTTTTCCCTGGGGAATGTCTGGAGTGGCCATGGCCGGGCTGCAGGTGCCTCCTGGTGTGTGCACGTACTGCTCAGTTCCRTCACTCCTGGCTCCAGATTCCCTCCCAGCCCCTGCATCCTGCGGGGATGCGCCCTTGCCACCTCTCTCTGCCCAAGCTAAAATGTGTTTAACAGAGTACCCTGATGACTGGTACGGGACACCCTGTTTTTSTCTCTGTTTCTGATATTTCCTGCACTCTGTCTCTTTGCAGCTGAGTCTGGACAACTTCCAGCTGCAGCCTCCGGTGACTTTCCGCCTGGCCGCGGGCTCTGGCCCCGTGCACGTTGCCGGCTGGCACCAGATCAGTAAGGACCAGTGGGTGGGAGACGCTYGGGATGGATGAAGGGCATGGAGGGGCTTCCTCCATTGGAATACCTGCTTTCCCTGGGGAGCCTGGGGGAGAAGCGCCTTGGTGCTGCCCAGCGTGTGTCCAGCAGTGCCCCCTGTGTTTGTTCCTGGGGGATTCRTCTCCCCAGTGTTGAGCCCTACCCAGGAAAAGGATCTGGGTGACCCATAGTGTCTCCTCTTCCCATGCCTCTCTGTCACCATTCCCATCTGAGACCTTCCTCCAGCTGGGACGTGACCTATTCCCCATGAGCTCTTTGGGCTGCTCTGTTCTTTGGGTGTTTTAGGGGAAAAACATATTTTCAAAAGTGAGTAATAGAGTTATGTGCATGTCCCAGTGCAGAGGGATGATGACTCCTTTGAGGAGGAAGACGACATGTCTGAGGATGAGATTGCTCCCATCATGCCAGCCAAGAAGCAGCGAGGGAAGCAGTAGCGGGTCTCCTGGCAAGGTGAGGGGCTGGGCAGCACTGGGATGTCCCATGTCCTGTGGGAAGTGCTGTGGGTGGAAGCTGTCCTACCAGGTGGTGGTGGTGTGGAGGGGGCACATGAGGCTGCCCACCTCAGGATGCTGCTTCTTTCCACAGGTACTTGCTGGGACTCCTAGGACGACTTTTACCTCGGACACCTCTTTCCTGGACCTCAACTTTTGCTGCTTTCTCATGTACCTTTTTGAGGGGTGAGGTGCAGGAGCTACTCCCAGCAATGGGTGGCTCCTCTCCCACGGCCCTGGAAAGTTGATCCCAAAATGGGGTTGGTGCTGCTGGTCTCTCCCCTCTCCCCCGTCTCTGGAGCCAGGGATGGTGGAGGGGGTCCTTGTCCTGTGCCTTTTCACTGTCCTGCACCTCTGCTCCGTGCACCTCTCTTCCTGGCTCCAAGACACCCTCTCCTGGCCCTGTCCCCAGGGCCTGATGCACAGCCAGAGGTGGGGGATAGTTTCACTGAGAATACCTTCAGTTTGCTTTTCTTTACACACGACTGGATGATTTTTACATAGCTACAAGTGTTATGTGAAGCCAGGGCCTGGGCTGCCTCCTCACTTGTGGGGCGGTGGGGTGGGGGCTCACGGTCTATCTGGGATCTGGGGGGAGGCGCTGGGTCAGACTGCTTTGTAAAGAATAGTTTTTACACTTGGAATAAAGGTCTCGTGTGTCAGCTCTGCGGCGCGGGGGTCACTGGTGGCTGGCACGTCCCTGGCCCGTGGGTCAGTGTCCATTCTGGCACTCCGTGTGTGTCACACTGCCTGCTGTCCCTAAGAACCACCATGAACCGTCTGGCCCTGTGGGCCTTGTAGGTACCTTGCTGGGCAGCAAGTGCCCCAGGCTGCAGGGATTCCCATGGGAAATCCTCCGGGGTGGATCCGTGGTCCTGGGTTGCAAGTGGGGCGGATTCTCCCTTTCACGTCTTTTGCCCSACTGTTTCCTTGTGGCACCAGCAGCCGTGGTTGGGCTGCCCTGGATGGAGGGGGCTTTGGGGTCCCGTCCTGCACCCTGGAGAAGAGGCAGCAGGAACAGCCCTGGCTTGGGAAAGGAGAAAGGGCTGTATCCAGCCCAGCTCGACGTCATGGGGGACACGCCGGGTGTGCACAGGGATAAAGGAGAGGACAAAGCAGAGCCAGAACAGAGGGGTCAACCCCGCTGCTCGCCTGGTCCTGCCCCGCATCCTGCCGCCCTCCCGCCTGGTGACATGGGGGAGCAGGAGCACCCCTGGGGCCGGGACCCCGCGGTGGCCGCGGGTCTGTCCTTGGGGACCGCTAGGTGGCAGGCGGGCAGCGCGGTGGCCCCGGGCACCATGCACAGGACTGCAGGGCTGCCCGGCYGCGTCTCCACCTGCGCCCGCCTCGCTGCCTGCCCTTCCGTACACCGTGACCAAGGCTGCGCCGTGTGGCCGGTCCATGGGCACACGATGCTCCCACCAGGTCCCTGCGAGGAGCAGTGAGGAGCAGCGCGAGGTCCCCAGCAGGTTTTCTTGCCCAGAGGATGTCCCTGGGGACCGTGCCAATTTGGTACCTTTGACAGCAGAGAGACAGGAGCTTTTTCCCCACATGGATCTGTGTGAGGATGCTGGTGGGCAGCCAGAACAGCAGCACCTTGTGCCGACAGTGCCAAAGAGGAGCTYGGTGGGAAGAAGGCAGCTGCGGCTGCGCCCAGCCTGGGCTGGCTCCCAGCCCCGTAGCAGGGTGGCACAGGCAGGGTCTTGCTGATCTGGGATGCCCCAAACTCTCCTGCTATCCATGCAGTGGGACCGTCCAGGGGCTTGAGGGACACTGGGGCTGAATCCCCTGCTGGGCCTTGGTGCTGCTTGGCTTGGGGTGAGGGATAAGGGCAGGCAGGGCATTTTTAGYAAGGTCSTCCTGGAGGGGTGGGCTGGGGTGGYGAGGGGAGGGAGGCAGCAGTGCTCAGCCTGGCAGGGCTGCTATAACCACTGCCAATGGGGAAGGGGGCAGGCAGCAGAGGCTGGGGAAGCRGGAGGGATTTGTCCCCCCACTTTCCCAGCAGGATCTGCTATGGGAGAGCAGGCGAGCGCGGTTGGGCTGGGGGGCCGCGCTCACACACAGCTCTTAATGGCGAGGATGGGATTACAGGGGTCACGCTAGGTGAGCAGCTTCCTTGGCGGAGCTGATGGTATCAAAGCAGGTGCCCCCGGCTGCAAATACCTTGGGCAAACAAACAGGGCTGCCTAAGAGCAGGTGAGCTCGGGCACAGGCGGGCTGGGGGGACGGGGGGCAGAAGGGGCACAGGGGGGCAGTTTGGGGGTCCCGGTGTGGTGAATGCCCCCTTTTGCATTAGGCCGGAGTGGGGGGATGAAGTGGTTGTGTGCCACATGCATAGGTGTGTTCTCTATGCCAGGGATGTGGCCCAGTGGTCCCCATGGGGAGTCAAGTGACACCCCAACCTGCACAATGGCCATGGTGTCACCCTGGGAGGTGACAGCTGTCAGCATCCATCCTTGCTGATGCCTTGGGGGCCCTGTGCACTGATCTCTTCAGGGATGGATCCCTCCCTATTCCAGCAGCAACAGGGGATGCTGGCCAAGACATCTTGCCAAGAGACGTGGCCTCGGTGTGGCTTGGTGTGGACCAGAACGCAGGAGAGCAGGGGGCCAGGCAAGCACATAGCAGAGCGCTCTGTGGCGTCCCTGCACCAACCCCACTGCTCGTCTGTGGGTTYGGGCCGCTCCTGGGCACTGAGCAGCCCCAAACTGGGTCTCAGCTGCCTGCCAGGCACCCCAGGGGCTGTGCTGCTTTGGAAGGTGAGCTCTGAGCTGGGCTTTCCTCGGCAGCACTGCCACCCCAGGCTCCCTGCGGGCACGGGGAGCTCTGCGGAGCGGGACCAGGCAGCTGATCTCCTGGCAAAGCCCATGCGATTTTCCAGTGTGGAGGCTGAAACCCCAGCGCAGGGATGGCCGGAGAGGCACAGCCGTGGACCRTGCTGTAGGTGGGGCTGGTCCCCTGCGCCTTGAGCTCCGTGCCTGCCTCCCCGGGTGAAATGYGGAGCTACTCCTCCCTGAGGATGCAGTGTCCTCGGAGGCAGCAGCATCCTTGCTTGTGATGGATGTGCGCTTCTCAGCACCCCTTCTGACCGTGCTCCCTCACAGCTCTCCCCAGTGAAGGTCTCGTCCAGCCCCACGTCACCTCAGTGGCAGCAGATAGCCGGAGGTCGCAGGTGGCCCGGCCTCCGACCCCTCCGTGGTGCGAATCTAATCGCAGCAGCCCGGCTGTCCCTGGTGCTGGCAGGGCTGTCACTGCTGGCCACGCTTCCCTGATGGGTTGTCCCAAAACAGCCCAGGTCCTGCAGGGATGCAGACCCTCCTGGGGACGTGTGGCCGCAGAGATAGCGGGGACTTGTGCTCCGAGCTGCAGGGCATGTGSCTCCTGGGGCTGGATACCGGGATCTGCTCCCGGTGCAAGCGGTGCTGGGGCACGGACAGAGGTGGATGCAGGTGACAGGGGTCTCATCTCTGCAGGTCCTTTCTGCTTGACAGGGATGCCCAACAGTGAGATGAGATGGTCCAGCAGCACAGCAGGCCCTTGGGAGATGGGATTGGGCTCCCTGGGAAGAAAGCAGGAGCAGTGTGCAGGCTCTGGGCTGCGGTTCACCTGGGATCACGCACCGCAGAGACGCAAGGAGCAGCGGGTCCTGTGGGCTGCGGGTGCTGCAGGTGCAATGGGCAGTGGTGGGCCTGGGCCCCACAGCCTCCCCATGCGCTGCCCGCGTCTCGCAGGGCCGTGTGGGGCGCCCTGGGGCTGCTCCCCGGGCCGGGGTCAGCCCGAGCTGCCTCTCTGCCGCGCTGGGATGTCACAGGGGCCGTAACCCTGCTGTTTTGCAAACTCCTGGGGTCAGCAGTTCAGCTGCCACTGACACAGGGGCCCGGGGACACACACGGGCATTTGGGGTGGATGCTGTAAGCAAACAAACCAAGGTAGAGTTACAGCCRGCAGCCAGCCCCCCGGAGCCCCCTCCCCACTGTTATTAGCTTTAGGTTTAACCCCCACCCCACGCCGGCTGGGCGCAGCGGGGGCTTTGCAGCGCCAAGGCTCAGCTTTGCACAGCCCTGGAGCTCCTCTGAGCCCGTCCCGTGGAGAGGACAGCGAGCCCAGATGCTGAGGGATGGATCCCTACTTTCTGGGTGGCCATTGGAGCCCCTTCCCCAATAGCCTGGCTCTGCTTCCCCTTTCCAGCCCTGCTTAGTGCTGTTTGGCCAAAGAGCACAAGGATAATGCTCAGGTTGGACTCTCCTAGTACCTGGCATGTCCCTTGGGTCATTTTCAAGAGGTCCTTTTTGGTCTTTGGACAGCCCAATGGGGTTAGGAATGAAGTGGGGCCACTTAAACCCCATGCACATCTCTATGCACATCACTCCTCTGTGCACACACGTGTTGTGGCCATCTCCACGGCAGGCTGCTCGCTTGCCACCTTCTGTTTGATGCAGAGCAACTTTGCACAGAAATGCCTGGAGCTGGGTTTAAATCCTGCAGGGCAGGGGATCCTGCAGGACCCTTTCCTGCCCTGGCAACCTCCAAGTGATCCCTCTCTTTCCTTGCAGATACTTGTAGTCCCGAACAACACCGCCTCAGCAAAGCCCTCCTGCAGTCTCCTGGCGCTGCCAGGTCTTTACCCACACGCCTGGCTCCCCTCCAGACCCTGCACTGCATCTCTGTCGTGTGCCAAGTGTGGGTTGTGGAGCCAAATGCAGCAGCGAGGCAGGCTCAGCGCAGCGATGGACAACCCCTCTGCGCATCCACAGCGTGCGCTGTGTGGGCTCCCGCTCTGCAGGTCTGGTTCAGCTCACCGTGCCAGAGAGCATCTCCACCATCCAGATCAAGGCCAAGTCACCCACTTTGCTTCCACGTGAATGTCTCAGTGCTTGATGCTTTGGATGAGTTCTGCAGGCCCCCAACACCACGCTCGGCACTGCAGGACATTGAGCTCCTGGCTTGTCCAGTTGTGCTGACAGCAGGGGGATGTGAGCTGCCCTTGCAGTCACCCATGAGAAGCCAAGCCYGGTGTGTAGAGTCCTCTAACCCACGCGAGTCAATATTAGTGACTGCAAGTCAGCACTTGGCAGCACGAGTGGCTTTGCTTGAGGCTGAGGACCAACCAGACGTTGTGGAGACTTGAGTAATGATCCTCCTGGAGCTGCTTGGGGTAGGTAGCTCACTGGGTTATGGAATGGGCCAGGATCCCTTCTTTCTTCACCACRTTCCTACACCAGGGTCCTGTCAACACAGCCCAAACCGGAGGGGACATTCACCTTGGTGCTACTGTCCCCTGCATGTCCCTTTAGTATGTTGTGGAAAGCAAAACCAGACTGGTTCTGACATGTGATTTTGGTGAAATTTTGGAGGAAAAGTGATGGAAAGACTGAAGGATGGGGGAAGAGAAAGAGCAGGAGGTGTCCGTGCTGGGTGGTGGATCACACTCACTGGGAGGGAGAGCGCGAGGAACTGGTGCTGCTGCAGGTAATC